TATCCATATACTTCAACACCAATTCAACCAATCTAAGGACAACTATGTCTTCATCATGAGGACTAGTCTCATCAGTAAGGCAGTCAAACTCAGAACAGTGTTGAAGACAGAGTTTAATTAGCTCATTCGTGCCTCCTACAGCTTGAACCACATCTGGACTGAAACTTTTGCAGCCTCCTTGAAGGTTATAAAATTCAATTGCAGTTGCTCTTTGTGCAAGATCCTTGATCATTGCACTTGAAATGGAGATATTTAATTCCCCAAAGGATAACTCTCTGAAGCCTTTTTTCCAGAACATAGGCTTGGCGCATTGCCCCATTTCTAATGTATACCTTCTCAACTTTGGGAGAGCTGGGGCCCCCACGAAGCATTCATAACAAATTGTGTATCCTGAAGGCCGTAAATTTCTAGAAATATATAATTCTTCTAGTTGCGAACACCTTCCAATTACTTTACAAAAACACTCTTCTGCTGCACACCATGACAAATCGAGCAATTTCAGACGATTTAGTTTTTCAATTCCATTTGGCAATTTTTTAAATTTGCTGCCTTTCAAGTCAAGAATTTCCAGCCTTTTTAGGTTTACCAAAAAAGAAATGTCACCTAAATCCCAACTTTCCAAGCGCAATGTTCGAAGATTAGACCACTGTTGCACTGAATGAGGTACTAATTCAGTCAAATAGCCAAACTTGATTGCCAATCAAAGCTGCAACTTTTAGTCCTTTTACACCTTCAAATGATGCATGTGATAAATCCAAGGGTTTGGTCGAATTTAACACAGAAGCTCAAGCTTTGGAGCGTCCAATTGGGAAGGAAATTTAACCAATTCAGTTTTTTTCTTCCATGAAGATACTGCATAGCAATCTTTTACTGCTTCATCTTCAAGCAATTCATTCAATTCTTTAGCAGAGTTTACCATAATTGTACCATGCTCTCTAGGTGCTATCCACAAAGCTACATCGCGAACCATGTCATGCATTTTCACAGATTTTTCACTCTTGAAGTTGACAAAATACATCAACAACGAAGAATCAATGAGAACATTTATGGCTGCTATAACTTGGCTCCTTGCTATTTCAAATGAGTCAGCATCTTCGCATAGGCCCAACCCAACTCCATATCTAAAAAGATCTTCAATGATAATTTCATGATCTTCGGGAAACATAGCACAGATCAAGAACAACGATTTGGCTTCTACAGTTCCCAAATAATCATAGCTTAACTTCAGACAAGTAAAAGCATCACTCCCTCCCTTATCCACGTCAACTGGCTTCGAATGTCTTAACCTATGCAATACTACATTCACCTCATCAAGTCCTTTTCTTCTTAAGCACTTCCCCATGGCCACAATTGCAATGGGTAGTCCCTTACATTCCGTAACAACTTCCTGGGCCACTTTTCTAGCACCATCATCTACTTTAGCATGAGTTTGAAATAGATCCCAGGCTTCATGTTCTGTTAGCAAACCCAATGGAATAGTTTTTTGGCAATCCATCAAACTACATACATCTTGACGACGTGTGGTAAGAAGGACTTTGCAATTTCTGGGACCTTCATCCCCAAAGGGTTTCCCTATATCCTCAAGGTTCAACATAGCCCATACATCATCCAATATAATCAGAATTCGCTCCTCTGGACTTTGTAATTTCATTGCAATTCTTCTCGCCCTTCCCACTTCAGTTTCTTCCTTCAACTCAAGTCCCATCAGGTCTGCAAGTTCACCCTGAATCTTCCTAATATTTGGAGTTTGGGAAACTGTTGTGATTATAACTCGATCAAATAGCCCTAATTCTTTGGCTTTCTTTCCTACTTCCTTTATCAATGTGGTTTTGCCCGAACCGCCCATACCCCACAACCCAATTATAGAGCTATCATCATCTTGCAGTGCCTCCCATAGTTGATCATATGCCATTTCTGTTGACTTGAAGAACATAAAATCTTTAGAAGAGTGATACTCTATATCTGGAACAATAACATGATGCGAAAATGGTTCGAACTGATCACTCTTTGTATTTAGCTCTGCCATCCGCTGGGTTGCCTTTGCCAACACTTTGCAGAGATGATATCTCCTCCCAGTAGGACACCACCTTTGGAAGCAGCCATTGTTGGCATTAAGTTCTTGCACCAAGTTCTCCACATCTGCTATGAGCCTCACCACCTCATTCTTCCACTTGTTAACCTCATCATCGATCCTCTCAGTCCTCTTAATGGCTTCTTCAACACGTTCCTGCACCCTCCCCTGCCTCAGCACCAATTCCTCCTTTTTGGTCTCAACATTTCTGGTGATTTTTCCGACGCAAAACAAATATTGCAATTGGCGTAAAGTAGGATCCACCAAATATTCAGCAAGTTTTGCTGCTATTGATATTCCCACCTCATCCATTCAAATAAGTAACAGCAACCTGAAAGGTAAATTTCATGATGTAGAATATGAAAATATAAGAAAGATCAATTGTTGTAACTTTCTTTCTAGGAGATATAAACTTTTTCCAGGAACTTTTAGATACTAGAGCGGCTAAATCTACTGTTTTAGATTGTATTTTCTATCAGATCAGTGTGAAGTTGAAAGGAAAAAAAAGTAACAAATGTAGCCTGTAAGCGATAGCTCCAATTGATAACACAACTAATAAGCTACTCATACTTTGAGAATTACGAGTTTGATCACAGATGGACCCTTATGTTAGTGTAGCAAATAGAAAACACTGACCAGAAAATGAAAGACTAAAGGTGGGAAAACAAGGTTTTCATTTTCATACCAGATAATTGAGTTGATGATTCTTGGCTTGCAAATTTTCAAGAGCAAGATGAACAGAATTCCACTGCAATCACCAGATTTTGCATGAGTTTGAGTCGTCAACTCGGTTGGAAATAAGAGTGCTCTTTCTTTTTCCTTTTTTTTTTTTAACTTCAAAATATAAAAGAAAAATAGCCTTAAACTTGGAGTAAAGACTTTGATTAGATAAATTTTCTATTCTAATGGACCCCAAAATATGAATTTAGGATTGAAAAAGTTAAAGAAATTATATTGCCAGTTAATTGCCATTATGTGTTTAGGGACCCCATGACTCTATTACTTGCTTTTTAGCGAAGGTGCCTTTGGACCAAATTTAAAAGTTAAAGTAAACAAGCACTCTTATGATTTTTACTTTTCTTGAGACATTTACAGGAACAAACAAGAAATTTGGATTAAATGTTGGTACTAGTAAAGGTTGCAAATAGATAAATGATTAAATTAAAAAAGAACCAATCAATAGAAGTTGCCTTATTTCATTACTGCTATTTAATTTCTGCCTTGAACAAACGCAAGTCGTTACTTCTTTTTTTGAAAAACCAGGCTGCTATTTTATTTATGGTTGATTAGGGCTTATAAAATAATAATACATTGACAAAATATAAAATGGAGAATTACAGCTCAATCAAATCTGCAATATAAATCATTATCATAACTTTCTTGATGATAATTTAAATGATTCAATTATTCTTCATGATGGCTTCATATATTATAATAATAGTTCTTAAAGCAACCCATACTTTGAGAGTGGAAAGCATTGATCAGAAAATGAAAGACTAAAGAAGCAAAAGAAAAAGAGGTTTTGATGTTCATACCAGATAAGCTTCCAATTCAGTTGATGATTCTTGGCTTGCAAGTTTTCAAGAGGGATATGAACAGAATAGCACTGCAATCTCCAGACATTTTCATGAGCTCGAGTCGTCAGCTCAGTTGGAAATGGTTGTGGTCTTTCTTCTTATATAAGTGTAGCCAATAGAAAACAATGATCAAAACATGGAAGACTAAAGAGGCGAAGAAAAAGAGATTCTCACTTTCATACCAGATATATTATCTTTCACAATTACTAGACTTCTCATGAGCATGAGTCGTCCAATCGGTAGGAACTTGGAAGTTACACAGGGCTCTTTCTTTTTGCTTTCTTTCTCCAATTCTAATGGACCCCAAAACATGAAATCAAAAGTGAAAAAGTTAAAGAAATCATGCATTCCACTTAACTGTTCTTGCGCGTTTGGGGACACCATGTCTCTACTTGCTTTTTATAATTAAGAAACAATTACCATATATGACTTATTCTTATTTATAAGATGCATTTGATTATGTCTCAAATTTTCTTTGTTAATTTTTCCTTTTGTCCCTGTTAATTTCAATGCATTTATTATCACACAACTTTCCCAGCATTATTCCCTTTTTCACTCATACTCTCTACCCATTGCAAATTCTCCCTTCCACAATCCTCTTTATTTTAGCAATTATTCTTTCTCTTATCATAAATAAGAATATTTTTATTAAAAAATCACACCTTTTATATAGGGGAAATCACCAAAAAAACAAAAAAAGTTATCCTAGAAATTAAAAAATTACATACATGAACCCGTTCACAAAAAATATTGTTATTTGCTTATCAATTGTTGTAAAACCAATCCTAATACTATAACGAGTCCTTATTTATAATTTTTCTATTTTTCAAGTCTTTTTTGTGATTTTTTCCATATATTTATGATTTTTAACTAATTTTAACCACCTTTTTAATTAATTAACATAATTTGGGTAAATGTTTTTTATTAAAAAATAAACTCAAAGAATAAATATAGGACTCGTTTTGAGTAACTTATAAAAAGTTTTTTAATTGTGAATACGAAATAAGTATATAAGTAGAGTTTTGTCACGATTTATATGAAACGTATTCATAATCGCCAATCCAAACAAACCAATAAGCTGTCAGCATCTTGCATCTCACCCTCAGGGAAATTGGATTGGGTCTCTGGACTTGGGCACCTCATAGCGTCCAATTCAGCCTGACAATCACCACGTCATGGGCTCTTTGTTCCTGTTCAGCCCAATGACATTGCTTTGTTGTCGTTACTTTTATATTTTGGGCCTCCCTTCAGCCCAAAATGAGGTCCATCATTGGGATAACTTAGGTCCATAATTCACAGCATCGTCTCTCAATATGCACTGACATTCACATGAACGCTATTTGCTATTCAACCCATGCTGGAAAAAAATTTAATCACGTGAACAAAATGCTAAAAACAATTTAATCACGCGAAATTTTTTTTTTTCATATGATAACTATTTTTAAATCATTTTCACGAATTAAATTAAAGTTCGGGGATAGTAAATGCATATCATATTTTGACAATCCCTCCATTTTATGATCTCTATGATGCACACACCGGAATGGATGATACTTTTGTGAGAAAATTTCAACTAGATTTTGAAGATTTTCTAGTTGGAGATGTTCTAAATTAAAAGAGAAAGATCTTCATGCAAGATCCTGTATTAATCCACCGAACATTGAGATATTTAACTAATCCAAATTTAAAGATATTGTGTATTCATTGTGAAATCCCAAGCCCATGCTATGCTGCTCAATCTCTAAATGGGGAGTTTGGCAACCCTTATAATATAATCATCTAGAAAAAAAATACATTTACGTAATTCGAGACAAAACTCTTTTTACATACTTATCTTGTATTACGTAAAATTATTTAAAAAAAAGCCGATACAAACACCATACCGTCGTCCACCTCTTCAAGTCCTTTTCTTCCTCTTCGAGTCTTTTCCTTCTTTTTTTATGAAATAAGGAGCCTCAACAACCCAGACTACACTGCATAACCTGCAGAAGATCTAGCAGAAGGCATGTCAGCCTGAAGGAGCCCACGAACCCTCTCAGGGGGGAAAGACAAAATGCATAATTAAGTCCTTTCCTTCTCAAACACTCCCCCATAGTCACAATTGTAATGTGTAGCTCATCATCTACTTTGACATGAATTTGAAATAGATCCGAAGCTTCACTTTTTGTTGCATAATTTATTTCAAAAAGAATTTGTATAAATTTTGAGAATTGAGGTAACATTTAATTGATTCCAGACAAAAACAAGTATAATTAATCCAATCGGTGTAACATTAATTTGTCTTAGATGTCCCCCAAATCAATCCAAGAGAGGATATCTAATAATTTTAGCCTTCAAATGTGTTGCTTCATAAAAGTAAGAGACAAAGCTCAATGGTACCTTAATAAAAAATAACATGGGATAATGGCCGGCTATATAAATCATTATTCTATTTCACTATTTAGTGTTGAGTAAGTTTCCGATCTCCAATTTGGAATCTAAATTTTCGAATTCAAATTATTCTTCTTTATTTTAAACTAAGAACATAATAAAGATAATAAAAACTAGAGATCAGTTTCAGTGCTCATTACAGTGATAGACATCATGATGCTTATCGTTACAGTGAAATTATTCAAATACATTTTTACCCTATATTTGGTATATGGAAATTAGAGGAGAGGGGAGGCAGAAAAACTTTTAATGAACTTAATTTAAAAAATTAGAGAAGAGGGGTTTTGAAACTTTAATAGAGAGAAGTTGTAAGATAAAAGAGCAATAAAAATTAATTAAAAGCTTCTAACGCCATTTTTTAAATTTTTTAAATCAAGTTCATAAAAATTTTCCTCCCTTCCCTTTCCCTCCTTTTTTTTTCTCATACCAAATGAATCTTTAGCGGTCTAGATTTAAGATTTTCTATTGATTTTTAAATAAAAACTATTTTTTAAAAAACTTATAGTGAAGAAATTACGTTTATTTTGGATTATGCAGCTATTATAGAAAAATGTTTTTTAAAAAAATTAAATATTACTACTCCGGTCTTAAATATAAGACATATTTTATAGTGCAATTTGCACTATAAAATGAGTCTTATATTTAGGACCAGAGGAGTATATCTCGGCCATTTATATTAAATTTAAATGGTTAAAATTTGATGAGCATCATGGCACTTATCATTGAGATGAGTATTGAAATTAGTTTCTAAATAAAAACTTTTATATCTCCATTATTCTAACTGAGATTGATGAAGTCAAGAAATGAATAGTAATAGATAGAAACCCGAACTGCAAAATTATCAAGCTTTTATAAATTGTTTAGACAAAGATATATTTTTAAGAAGTAACTTAATTTATTTATTCTTAATGAGTAGTAAAATAATAATACACAGTACATCAAGATTATAATACTGATTATGTGCATGGAACTTATTTTTCACCCAACCCGTGGGATCATCATGATAACTTTTGCGCCACCAATCACTCAGCAATAAGTTGAATTCTTCGTCATAGTGAAACGCTTCTTTCTGTCCCTTTGATATAAATCCATTATAAGTTGAATTCTGTTGATCCCTGTCTCTTCAAAATTGGCAAGCCAAGAATCATCAACTGAATAATTGTGCAACCTTAATTATCTGGCATGAACATCAAACCCTGGTTATTCCTTTAGTCTTTCATCTTCTGATCAGTGTTCTCCACTTGTTAGTACAAACCGCATTTGTTGCTTCTTTTTTTTTTCCTTTTCAACTTGGCACATGTCTCATAAAAAAATATAATAGAAA